AGAGAGAGAGAGAGAGAGAGAGAGAGAGAGAGAAGGGGAGAATTATCAAACATCTCGCCGTCATCCCAAACTCCATTTGGCAAGGTCACCCCGAGGTTAATTATAAGCAGCGTCGCCAGGAGAATGGCAATGATAAACGAGTGAATAAAACAAAACGCATAAATTACAAACCGCACCGAAGGAAGGGCACCGGGAGGCAAACAACTAACAAGGCTGATCTGCAACAGAGTGCAAAAGAAACTATTCAAAAGAATGGAAGAAGGAGGAAGAGAAACGAAGAAAGCAAGGAAGCAAGAGGGTGAATAAGTCAAGAAATAAAGGAGGATCGGAGGACGACGAATGATAAATTCGAACGGAGGAGGAGGTGGAGCAAATGGCCGAATTACTGAAGGAGTGAAGAAGGGGATAAGGAAGAGGAAAAGGGAGATGAAGAGGAGACCGATCACAGATGGCGAAAGTATAAAAAGAAAATGGAAGGAATATAAGGAGAAGGGTGAACTCGAGGCGAAGAAGGGAAGACGACGAAGTGAAAGAAAAAGTAAAATGCCCAAGAAAGGTTAAAAAAAAACATATTAATAAAAAAAATGAAAATAAAATCATGGGATATCGACACACAAAAACGCGGGCAAAACCACGGCACGCACGAGAGCCGTAGCAAGGACAACGAATCCTACCCCGCGCACAGGGAACGCGCGAAGGACGAAGGCGACGCACACCGCAAAGACAACAGTAGCTTTGGGTCCGCCGCGCAGGGACCCCCAGGGTACGCAGGCCGACGGACCTTTTTGCGTCCGTTCTTGTTCCTTTCTCTGCCGCTCTGCCTGTGTCTGTGCGCGTTTGTGTCTGTGCTTCTGTCTCTGTCTCACTCTTACTTACCCCCTCTCCCTCTCTCTCTCCCTCTCTCTCTCCCTCCCTCTCTCTCTCTCTCCCTCCCTCTCTCTGTCTCTCTCTGTCTCTCTCCCTCTCTCTGTCTCTCTCCCTCTCTCTGTCTCTCTCCCTCTGTCTGTCTGTCTCCCTCTCTCTGTCTGTCTGTCTCCCTCTCTCTGTCNCACCGGCACTGAGGACAGCGCGGTGAGTGAGTCCTCGGTAGGAATCGGGGTCGGTTATGTACGTTACAGGGAAGGTTTGAAAGTTGGGATTGCGCGTAGATCTTGAAGGTGGTCGGGGGTTTTATGTATTCGTTGTGACCGTAGGTAAATGTAATTTATTACGTGATATCTTCAAAATAAATAATAATAATAATAATAATAATGATAATGTAAGTAAAGTTTTACGTGACATCTAAAAAAAAAAATAAATAAATAAAGTGTAAATGAATAAATTAATAAAATAAAATGATTTAAGGTGTTTATGCCCATAGAGCAGTTTGTATGGTATATCAATAATGCATTGACCTCCAAATGGTAAAATATATCTGCAGGAAACTATGAGATAATATGACATGAAGAAAAAAAATTGGTCACACAGATTACATGAAATCCCTGATCGTTTCATACATTTATTTCCTCTTTGTCGGAAAAAAATGGTCACACAGATTGCAGATTTTGTTTGTTTGTTTGTTTTTTGTTTTTTGTTTATTGTTCGCGGTATCTTGGTAATTTGGGTAGCTTATCAGGGTGGGAGGGGGGGGGTATGCCACGCCCCTCTGCTGTGCGGTAGGTTCTTCACCTTTCGTGGGCGCTCGCGTGGGTGGGCGTACATACTTGCACGGAGGAATGGGTGTTTACGTGTAGGCATCCACCTGTACTCACTCTCTCTTTCTCTCTCTCTCTTTCTTTCTCTGTCTCTTTGTCTCTCTCTCTTTGTCTCTCTCTCTCTCTTTCTTCTCTGTCTCTTTCTTTCTCTGTCTCTCTCTCCCTTTGTCTCTCTCTCTTTGTCTCTCTCTCTTTCTCTCTCTCTCTTTCTCTCTCTCTCTCTTCTCTCTCTCTCTCTCTCTCTCTCTCTCTCTCTCTCTCTCTCTCTCTCTCTCTCTCTCTCTCTCTCTCTCTCTCTCTCTCTCTCTCTCTCTCTCTCTCTCTCTCTCTCTACTCTCTCTCTTCGGCTCTCTCTCTCTCTCTCTCTCTCTCTCTCTCTCTCTCTCTTCTCTCTCTCTCTCTCTCTCTCTCTCTCTCTCTCTCTCTCTCTCTCTCTCTCTCTCTCTCTCTCTCTCTCTCTCTCTCTCTCTCTCACACCACCACACACACACACACACACACACACACACACACACACACCACACACACTTTCTCACTCTGACATACACACATGCTCCCGCCCACACATACGTACAAACAAAAAACAAACACACACCACACACACAAACATACACACACACACACACACACACACACACACACACACACACACACACACACACACACACACACACACACACACACACACACACACACACACACTAGCAACATGCTACACCATTACTTTTCTATTAATATAAAAAAATGCTGATAAGACGTTGAATGCATTACCTTGAACAGAGAAAGGTTGTCTGTGTGATTAATGATCCGCATTAAGTAATGGACGTCTCATAAAACGTAATTACAGTTTCACGTGCGCTGGTATTTCATTTCTTTCAACAAGCCTTAATTGTTTAAAAGCGTTAATGAATTTTTGGGGTATATATGATGAGTAATTAAGAGGTTTTAAATGAATACTCTGTAGGTTTTTTTCTGAGGTTATCGCCTGATATCATATATATTAAAAGCTAAATCATAGATTAAATGTACCTCGTTAAATACATGGAGATGATAAATGATAAAAGAATATATATATAATATATATATATATATATATATATATATATATATATATATATATATATATATATATATGTCGTCGCTCTTGCTCTCGATAGAGATAAGTAGCTCGTTATATCATAAATAAGAAGACGTCACGTCATATAAAGTTGTTAGTTTTGATGCCAAGCAATTTCCTGACAAGAGAAGAAGACATGCAACTGTTGATTTTATATATATATTATATATTATATATATATATATATATATATATATATATATATATATATATATATATATGTATATGTATATATATATATATGTATATATGTATATATATATATGTATTATATTATATATGTATATATATATATATAATATATATATATATATATATAATATTATATATACTTATTATATGTATATATATATATATATATATATATATATATATATTATATATATTATATATATATTATATATTATATATATATTTACATGATATTACGTCTTTCCTTTGATTTCTTCATAAAAGGGGATATTTATTTTTCTCTTGTAGTGATAAGTGCCGGTTAGATAATGATTTCGGACAAGATTTTCGCGATATAACACACATGCTTGGTTACATTTATATTCATATGAATTATATAGTAAAAAATGGCATGTTTTATCTATCTATTATATTGATATCCTGAGCTTCTTGTAATAACATACGAATTTAGTAATTCTCGTCTTATCATCCATAATTAGACTATGTTGGATCTTTTCTCTCTCTCTCTCTCTCTCTCTCTCTCTCTCTCTCTCTCTCTCTCTCTCTCTCTCTCTCTCTCTCTTCTCTCTCTCTCTCTTTCTCTTTTCTATCTCTTTCTCTTTCTCTCTTTTTTCTCTCTCTCTTCTCTTTCTCTTTCTCTCTTTTTTCTTCTTTCTCTCTTTTTCTCTTTCTCTTTCTCTTTTCTCTTTCTCTCTTCTCTTCTCTCTTTCTCTCTCTCTCTCTCTCTTTCTTTCTCTTCTCTCTCTCTCTCTTTCTCTCTCTCTCTTTCTCTCTTTCTCTCTCTTTCTCTCTCTCTCTTCTCTCTCTCTCTCTCTCTCTCTCTCTCTCTCTCTCTTCTCTCTCTCTCTCTCTCTCTCTCTCTCTCTCTCTCTCTCTCTCTCTCTCTCTTCCGCTTGATTTATTTGCGTGATTAAATAGAGTAACTCATGCAACTATTGCCCTGTCTTGACCACGTTATTTGCCCCTTTAATAATTAATGATTCGTTTGGTCATCAGTCAATGTGTCCATAAGGTGTTACGGTTCAATGAGCGTGTTGATTGCCGCAAGTTTAATTTCAATGACGTGATGCATTATGAAAAGGCATAATTTGTTTATGTTTTTGTTTTCTGTCTGATTCTCGACGGTAGTATTTTTGTTTTGTTTGTTGATATGAATAAATAAGGCATGGTGATTGAGATGCACTGCACGTCATAGTTTAAGACAGCTTTGCTATAAATTATGATTAATTGCTTATCTAAAAGAATGAAAACACACATATACATACACGCACACACACACACACGCACACACACAACACACACACACACACACACACACACACCACACACACACACACACACACACACACACACACACACACACACACACACACACATATATAGATAGATAGATAGATAGATATACGCATACACATACATACACGTGTGTGTATGTATATGTATATACCCGTATACAGACAGATAGAGCTAGAAGGTGACAGACAGAGAAACAAACGACCAGAGAAAGACAGACAGACAAACAAACAGAGAAACAAAACAAACTAACAACAAACAGACCACCCTCAGGATCCCCGCCTCTGACCCGCCCGCCCTTCTCTCGCCCCCTCCCGCAGGACGCTGACCTGGACATCGACGTGGTGAGCACCGAGCTGGGCAACGGAGGCACCAGCACCTCGACCATCAGCACCAACTCCTCCAGCAACAACATCCCCTCCATGGCCATGCAGCACCGGGGGAGCACCAGCAGTTTCACGCTCCCGGGATCTACTGACGAAGACCTGCAGGACGCGGGTGACCTGAGACTAGAGGAGGTCATATCTTAGGTCGCGGAGGTCGGAGGGCAATGGATGTCGGGTGTTGTTTTTTTTTTTTTTCGTGATGTTAAGATGTGTGGGTTTATAAAGGTCTGTGGAAATTTGCGGGAGAGGAATGGGATAATGTGTATTGATCGGACTTGATGTGTGTGTATGTATATGGATAATACAGGTGAGAAAATGGAATGTCGAATGATCTCTTACACCGGAAAAAATGTTATGCACATCAGAATGGATACCTTAAGATGTGATGCAATGATGTGATTCGCACTGACGATTTTTGCAAGTCCCGCGTGTTATTGTGGTAAGTTACCTGTGCATTCGTTAAGCATCTTATCTCGAAAGGTCATGGGTTATTCCCAAGGACACTGAGATGTACAGAGGAAAGTACTAGGTGGCTGGACTTGCTGTGGAGAAACAGAAAGTTGGTCTGTGTGAAATGTTAATGATATTCATGATTGAGGCTACAGTACAAACGTAATTTGAAAGATGTTTTACCCTGGGGTGCATGCTACAGGGGGTGCCGGTCGCAAAACACTTTTGAATAAAGAGCACTGGATTTTATAACACTGAGTTACATCACAAGCCTTCTAAAAAATCTTGAAAACTTTATCGTTAAGGAAACATGGTAGGTGTGTTAACTATTTTCTAGATCATATTCCTGATGTAAATAGTATATATGAATAATTATCATAATTATCATTGTCTTCATATGAAAAAAAAAACAACAGCAATGAATGGTTGTAGTGATCTCAAGTATAAGTGATATGAAATTTGTAACATGTACCTTAGTGACGTCTTGACCATACCAACAAAAAAGTAGATAACTTTAAAAAAAGTTCTCTAAATAATTCTTTCGACTAAATAACAAATAATTTTCTGACTTGCCGTTCAAATAATCACTCGACAAAGGGATTCTGAAGACACTGTCTGACACATTCTCCTGCCGGGAATATCGACGGCACGGGACTCACAAGGGCCCAAAGCGGACATGAATTCCCTGGCGCCCGGTATTATCTTGGAAATGTCTGCTGGAGGACTCGCATTACCTTCTTCGGAAGAAAATGAAGGGTTCCAGCGAGAAATGAGTCATATCGACGTCCTTTAGGGATAGAGAGAAATGGAGAGAAAGATAGACAGAAGGAGAGAGGGCGATGTCAGCGATAGGTTCTTCTTGTGGAGAAATGAGTCACATCGAGTCCCTTAGGATAGAGAGAAAATGGAGAGAAAGATAGAGAGAAGGAGAGAGACGGAGTCGGAAGAACTGGGTCATGCGTTAATGTGTCTCGTATGATCGTCTTTTGTTTTTCCTTTTATTGTTTTCCTCTGTCTATCTGTTCGTCAGTGAGGGTCGTAGGTTTAGGCATTACTGTTTGATGATTTTTTCTTATCATTCATCTTTCTATCATATATGTTTGTTATTAATGTCTTGTACGGATTTGGTTATGATTTGATAGAAAAAACATTTTTTATTATTCTTATTTCTCTTATGAATATACTTGCGTTGCTGTTATTGTCAGTTCATATTGATCTGCTAATCTGAAGACTATAATTGGAGAGTGAGCAAAAAAAAGCAGTTATCAGTTGTGTTACTGATAAACGCAAAAACGGGTTATTGCTGTCAAAAAAACTAAACAATTACATAAAAAACTAAACAATTACATGTAAATACTTTAATCATTTTCAAAACAAGATTTCTAGTTTACTGGATGCCTTGTGCTTCTATATCAAACCGATTTGATGAATGCTACATATGTTATAGATATATATATTGAAACCCATTTAGGTATAAGAGCAACATGTTTACACTATGTACACTTTACTTTAGATTGGAGTATATATATTTGTACTCTCAGTGGATGGTGCCCCACAGATATGTGATATACGTGATGGTGAGTAGGTACTGTCTTGTTAGTTATTTTACTTGTTGATGATGCAGAGACACATTGAAGACACACTGACATACATTATTCAAAATAAATATATGATTTCTTCATAAACTTGACCACGTGTATGATTTATCTTAATCGTCTGCATTGGATCTGTTTTTTTCACTTGTGGAAGATGCTACGTATATAAGGCGACATCCAAAAATTCCCGGTTTAATTTCAAAATGTAAGAAAAAGAAAAAAAAAACAAAAAAACATAGGAGTCTCCTTGGGCGTTAAGAGTTTCGATCCCTTAAACGTCGGGTTCAACACCATGTAGTCCTCCTGAATACCTCAAATACGTCGGGTCTTGATCCATTCAACGAGGATTTTAATTTTCGGAGAGAGGAAAGAACAAAGAAAGAACGAAATCGAGTAAATGCGTAAGAAAGAATGCGAATATACTTCATGTTACGAAAAACGAAGCTGGTGTCGCGGTCGAGACGAAGCGCGAATCGTCTGCCAGTTTTCGAGTCACTTTCTCCGTCTCAAAACATCTTAGGAGAACTTATCATTGAGATTTGTCTCTGATAAACGATTCTTTTTAACGATTTCTCTCGACGACAAAAAGAAATGAATGAGAATTGTGGTCTTCAAGGTTGAGGTTCAAAGAGAAGATCGCTGGACGGCCAAGGAGGGAATTTTGGAAAGAACGACAGACTTACTTGCTTGTATTTTTATTTTTGTTTTTAAATCTCGAGTTGCATTTTGTGAACTTTTAGGTTGGTCATTTTGTTTGCAACATAACCATACCGTAGACGGCGAAACTTGCAGTGTTGAAAATGCAACGAAGCAGTTACCATGAGCCTTTGAAGAAACGTAAAATATCTGTCATATCTATGGAAGAAGTTAGAAGATTCTGACTCATTCAAGTGATAATGATTTATTTCAAATTCTTTTTCGACGAATAAGGGAGTTATTCAAAGGCTACATTACGATACAAAGAGCTTACATTTCATTTTGGATCATCGACTTTGCAACTTTTCCATGTCTCGCAGAATTTGCAAAAAAAACATGCTATCATAAATCATCCCTAACTGTAAGCAGTTGTAAATAATATACAAATCATCTCTTCACAACATATTTCTTAAACATAACCACACAGCGTCAGGACACACAACACGGTGATGTGATGTCATACATTTCGTCATAGATATAAGCTTTTTCTTTGTGAATTAGTGACCGCCTTTTCTCTCTGTATTGTTTGGAAAATCGTCCCTGACATCTCTCTAGAACGACGTGTTAGGGGAAGGTTCTCTGCGTGATGCTGTGATGATGGTGTGTGTTGGGGAATATCACGTATATTTTGATGTGATTAATTAAAGCTCTATCTTTAGGTTTGCAAATATTAAATATTGTATATATATGTGGATATATGGATATGTATATATATAAATTTGTTTATACATATAATTGTATATATACATTTGTGTATATATATGTGTGTGTTTCATGGCTCTGTAAGCTTTATTTTTCATCCATATGGTATCCTAGAACTAATGCCTAAAATATTGCTATGTCATGGATCACGGATATTTTCCAATTTCTGTTTATTGCTGCAATGGATAATAAAACATATCAGACACTTACAAGGCTTCATTACCCTTAAAAAAAGAATATCAAATAAGCTTAATATATGAGTTGGAAAACCATATAGACTCAAAGATACAGGGAACAAGTATCTATATATTGCATTTCTCACTTTCTCGTGAAAATATTTATTTTATCTGCCCGCCAGTACATCCTTTAGTCAAGAAAAATTACTGCGGGCACAACATTTCGTCTTCATATGTTTACAGTCTTTTATCTTTTAATGTAGTTTAGTCCTTGCAGACGTGAGTAATGAAATGTGGGTAGCCGATTCCGTAGACTTATAACACCACTCGTATCTAAAAATATGCAAATATTTGACAGTACAAGTATGTAAGTGTATGTAGTTCATGAATATGATGTTATTACTGATTAAAACAGTATAATTCATATATACACTGGCCACGTTAACAGTCTAAAGAATACTAAATGAACTATTTCAAGAAAGGTAATTAGCTGCATAGATACATACTCTGAAATAAATGAAAAGAATTATAAGCTGTTTTCCGTGATATATAGTTTAATATCGGATATCACTACTTTATGAGAAAAGCACATTTCACACTCATTAAATTCCTGTATATAGAGATAAAGCAGAGTCAACGACTTTGAAAATAGGAAATAGGAAAGGACGAACAGAGATCTCCAAACGGACATACTTTTGCATGCATTCCACGTCGCTCGTTGTAGCATATTTGGTGGCAGTTTCCAACGTATACTCACACTATGCGTACTATTGATCAATGTCAGTGGTACACGAATTTTATTAGTATTGGATTGCCATCTGTCACAATGAGATATCACGCCAATACCACATTTATTTACCCTTGTGTACCGTGAAGGTCACTAAAGAACATGAAAAGGACTATTATGGGTAAAAGTTGCAGTCAAGCAAAGTACGTTTTGGAAGACTGTGGTAATTCATTTTAAAAATAAACCAAAATATAAAAATCTGACCTTGAAACTATGGCAATTATAACTAAAAAGGTAATCCTATGAAACTTAATTCACCCAAGAACTTCATGCTAAAAAAAAAAATCCTTAGAAATAGGAAAAAGAACAAAGAAACATGACATCCCTTCCCCCAAGAATATATACATATATAAGACACTGAGCAAGAATGTGTTCAAAGTTCCAAGAGTAAGCAAGGCCTGGCGTGCGCGTGAGCAAAGAGTTAAGGAGTGCCGAGAAAGGACAAAGGGTTAAGGAGAGGTAGGAGAAGACAAAGAATTAAGGAATGGAAGGAAGAGATAAGCCACGAACGAAGGAAAAGACACGAATTCCGTCACCACGAAGGAGGAGCGCCATCGATCTGCCAAAAATAATTACTCTGTCATTAAAATACTTTCTGCCACGTATGCAACGAAGCTGTCTTGAAGTTTTTTTTTAATGTTTTTTTTTACGTTTCTTTTTATCTTAAGTGTGATCGTTGTGGTACGAAAGTTAAGTCGTAGGTATATGCTTAATGTTTGTGGATAACGTTGATACGATAATGTAGGGTTGTCACCTTGGAGTAATTATTATTTTCTGTTTTTTAAATTTTTCTAAGATTTTCTTGGAATGTTTTTTTGATGAAATAGGTTTATGCTTTCCCACTTAATGTCTTATAATGAAATGAGAGACAAAGAAAAAGATTATTGTCATTTTCTTTTATTCATATGAACGCAAGAAAAGAAGTAAAAACGTGTCTTGGTATGGTAATGGTAGCAGACTTCGGTACTGAATTATTGAACATCTAATTCCATTAACATCTGCAGAATGCAATTTTCGTCACGAACGCAAAATATTCCCAAATGAATGTTATAAAAAATAGCATGACTCTTACAACCAAAGAGGCGATCCAAAAAAGTCTTACAAAAAAAAAAAAAAAATCCTGCCTTAATCCTATTGATATTCTGTCAACGCTAATAAGTCTCACGCACGAAACTAAACCCAAATAATTCGTCAAAAGAGGAAAATGAAACACTTCGAAGGAAAAACACGAAATTGCCCAGGAGTAACAATGAAATTCGTAGGTTCCGGCTAATCCTAAAATCGAGTGTTTTAATTATGAATATTTTGTGTAAATATGATGAGTGTATACCTAGGGAACACTTGCTTGGCATTCCTTGTATTGTACAGGGAAGTTTAATTGTGTACCGGTTTACACAGATAGATGAATGTATTATATGTGTAGGTAAACTGAAAATCACATTCTTTGAAAGCAACAGTATCAGCTTCCTACATAATGTATCACTTTTATTAAAATAACGTTATTCAATCCATTCAATAGATATCAAAACAACGCATCTACAATAATCAAAAGAGTGAAAGAGTGTTTTACTTTTATTAAT